AACACACGTAATACTGTTACTTCCTTAGTTACAGACAAATAATTTATAATTGAAGTTATCTATCTCTAAAACCTGCTCCTTTTATCATCCTTTGCTCTATAACATTGTTTAAGTAAAAAATTAATTTAAAAAAATTACAGCAATACCTTTTTTTCTAAAAATGTCCGTCATACAACATAAATAGCTGGAAATCCATATGAAGCTCGATTATTATTAGATTTTTTTTAGTTTCGAATGTTATATAATTAGTTTAAGTATATTTTAGTACGTTTTATAATTAAAATGAGTTTGTTAACATAAATAACATTCTTAATTACATTCTAATCGTTAAATTATTCCGTACGGATTACCTACACTTATTGGTATAAGTGTATCCATCTCAATTAGTGAAATATAATTTGTTTCTTTCAATTAATCTCTTTTCGGCTACATAACCCATATCTAATAGCAAAAACTACAGCCAAAAATGCATGACTAAACTTTTACTAACCTACCAGCGCCTAATGGCAATTTGGTCAATTAATAAAAGAAAGACACAGTATTAAATAGAATTAGCGATTGAAGTCATTATGTTTAGGCTTTAGCTATCATCCTTGCAGTTTGCTTACTAAATTCGAGTTTTGTTATTTAAAATACCTCCGATTGATAAGAGACGCTCTTCACACGTGCTCTTAGACCTTGATGACAAACAAGTGATTATACAGATACGAATGCCCTCATAACTCACTAAAACTGTCACATGTCGCACTGCTAACTTCCTTTCAATCACGTCTTAGGCCGAGGTCCAGCCTCTTAATAGCACTAACTATGTATTATATTTAAGCCCGTAGTTGAAGGGTAGACCTCATTTGGACTACCCATTCACCCCAATGACGCTATCGAAGCTAATAGGACCAAGGCCAAGAGTAAAGTCGAAAAAAAGTTATATTATTATTGTTTTTATAATTGTTTTACCTGTGATCGACATCCTGAGCCACAAAAATGTAATTAACATTAGTCATTGACACCATCATAATAGACAAACATATCAAAATGTATTGAATACATTGAAATTTCCCAAACTTATTCAACTCCATAAAAACATCACTATTAACTTCAACTACTTCTGTTACCGTCATATTAATACAGTCAATGACTAAAACTAAATTTAAATTGCAGAACGTGTTAAGGTTCATTAAACAAATTTAAATATAGATATTTAAAATATGTATAGCAAAACTAATTCTGACCTGAAAAATAAAAGGCTGCGGAAGGAAAGTAACAGCCGAATTTACACAAGTAAAATAAATAATACACCATTCAAGTTAAATCAACCGTTTTTAAATAATTGTACTCACATATCACTTCAAAAAAACAAATTATGTGGTTATTTACAGTCTTCAATAAAAATATTTATGTATAATTGAATATCTTTATTCTTTTTATTCAGTAAACATGGTGACGCGCATGAGTGTGCAGGTTCTAATCCTGGCAAGTAACAATTTGATTTTCCCGGTCGTACGCACTTTCTAAGAATATTGAGATACTACTGAGAGACGGTGAAGCAAGACATTGAGTGGATTCCTGGACTTTATAATTTGAAATCGCCAACCCGCCTTAAGCAAGTGTGGTGATTAATGGGCTCCGATAGGCTGATAATGATTCGTGTTATGACTCTTTAGAATAACAAAATAAAATTAATAAATATTTCTTAAATTGTCCACTGTCACAACAGAAACTATTATTAAAAGAAAGTGTAGCCACGTAAAAAGTGCACGTACGTACTATGTATTACTTATAATTTGTTTACTTAATTATATCTCAGCATTTAATTGAGCTTTTCATACAAATTTTGTAGCAATCCAATGGTTCTAGAATAAGAATTCTAAACGGATAAGTATAGAGATACTCTTTCTATGAATCCTGAAAATATTGTACAAAATTTTTAATGAGCACTAAACATGAGAACAGCGTCTTATAGCGAAATAGAAAGTAGTGTTAAAGAATGAAGTTAAACGATACAAATTACCCCACTGACAATACAGATAGAAGGGATAAATATAAATAAAAAACATAGACAACTGAAATTAATATAAAATCTACACATTAAAAGCAGCTATTCAAGCACTCGTGTATAATTAGAAATAATATTTAAATTAATTGTTACGAAATATAGATGTTACATCCTACACGAAATTAACCGATAACTTTATATAAGGAAAATTAATATATAAGCAAAATCAGTATACAGGGTGACTGGTGAATTACTATCAATATTTAAGGAGAATACTCGGTACATGATTCTCATTCGAATTATGTAAAAAAAAGAGGCACTTAATTTTTGACAAAATTTCCGTATAAATAAATAAAGTGTTGACACGTTCCAAGTGTTCCAAGTGTGGACGCGTGCGGCGGCGTGGTGATACAACACCACGCCGCCGCACGCGTATGTGTGAGTGTGTGTATACCTAATCTGTAGGGTGTTCACACCATGCGTAATTAATTAGATAACTTTTGGTTAACTTTACTTAGAAGTTTATTAATATTTATGTTATATTTATTTTTATTTTGTCATATATGATCGTCAAATATCACGTCCTCAAGTATCGATAGTAATTCACCAGTCACCCTGTATACCAGTTTACTTCTTTGTTTAAAGTTTTTTCCGAGAAGTCTAATAATACCCTATGTTATTATACTTTATCGGAAAGCTGAAGAACCGTAGATATTTTTTAGCACATCTGCAGTAGGTACATATGTCATGGACTTTTTTAAGATATCATACAAAGAAAAAATATTTTGTTCAAAATTATTTATTTTTTAACAATTGACTGTTTACCACGACTCATTTGGTATGGTTACTGGCAGTTTTGTAGCTTAATATAATAAAGCAATTGATCTTCTACACAAAAATAGTAAAAATAATACAAAATTGGAACACAAAACAAAAATAAAGGGGCAATGGGCAAAAAATCTGTAATTTTGGTAAAATAAATTCGAATACCAATAACTTGAGAAGGGTTAGGTTTAGGATATGGTGTTTCATAGTCAAATCGGTTTGGAATGATGGAATCTATCCTCTCTTAAAGGATTTCGGTCGACTTAACCTGTAACCCTGAATACAAGACATTCAACATTTATCCAGATATTTTAATTATTTTGCTTTTGAAGTGATAAATTTTAATTTCTCTAATTTACTTTCAATTAAATTATTCAACTTTCTTTATATTAATAAAGTGTGTTGGGGTCCAAAAGAAAGAAAAATCATATAATATAATTATGTTTTTATGTTTTTGTTGAATTATGTTTTTATATACATAATTATGTTTTTAAATGAAAATTCAACAAAACGCGTAGGATTCGAACGAGCCACTTCCAGAGAAGTATTTTTTTAAATTTTAATGGAACTTCCAACGATAGCTTCGTTGAAGAGTCAGTGAAATGTGTAAGATTTTTTCATATTTATCTTTTAATAAATGGATTCAAATTTATTCCCAAGCTTTTTTTATTGCTCTAAAGGTCAAAATGTTTAAGTGGATATAAATAATAATAAAAAAAATCATTTTCAAGTTAAAATAAGACAATGTAACAATTTTTTTGTCAAATGTTAAGGACAACTTTATACAAATTACTTTATTTAATACTAGCTTTTGCCGCGACTCCGTCCGCGTGGAATAGTGACTTCCGGCATATTCTTGGTTCTTCCCACATAGTTCCCGTTCTTGCGGGGTTTTCGGAATGGCTGAGTTCCCGTAGAATTTTCAGGATAAAACCTATGTTTTTTTATTCACAATGAAGTACTCTTAACCAACAACATATTTATTTGTTTATTTGAATAAAGATTAATATTATTATGTTGATACAACTTAAACAAATTATTTCGACCAAATTAGGTAGCATAAAAACGATTTTTCTGAGTTAATCTTAAAAGATAGACATATACCGTCCTGGACTGTTTTTTAGATGATTAAAAGAGCTATTATTCTTTAATACTTTTTTTTTGTGTATCTTGAACTGTTTTCACGGCGCACGCAACGGAAGGCTTCAAAGATGAAATAATTTCTCCCGTTTTTTACACATTTACCACTATATCTTTGCTCCTATTGGTCGTAGCGTGATGTTATATAGCCTACAGCCTTCCTCGATAACTGGACTATCCAACACAAAAAGAATTATTCAATTCGAACCAGTAGTTTCGGAGACTAGCGCTTTCAAACAAACAAACTCTTCAGCTTTATAATATTAGTATAGATCTAAATTATTATATCATGTTCAATTTAACGTATTATAATTATTTATTTTTGTACCGAACATTGAACATTGATCAGATCATCGACATATATCTACTACTGGACATGCTTTAGAGATGAGAATTGTGGCACTCCGAAAGCAAGAGAGGAAACGAAGTTTCGGTCTATCTTTATCTCTCTCAAAATAATACCGTACTTAAGACCGTTATGAGCCCCTTCTGAATAATTTATTATTTCCTTATGTCATATTCAGCTTTACGTTTAACCTCACTTTCTCTGATTTTTAGTATTTTTAGTATTAATGACGTATGAATTATACGGTTAAATTAATTATTTTAATCAATAAATTTAAATCCGTGTAATTATACATAATATGAGGAAAGAGATAGTGCTAGACCGAAAGCATAGGCCATCTCTCTCACTCTTTTCAAACCAAAAAAGTACTGCATATTATACGCGTACGGCATGTCCATTAGTATATGTTGATGGATCAGATTGTGATGCATCCGCTTGACAAATAAAAAATTCAAATATTATATCTTTATATTCTCTATAAAGTTATTTAAAAAAAACTGAGCTAAAAACGATTTTCTTTATTATATTTATAGAAATGTTTTGATGACCCTATATTTACTTTAAAAATATAAAAAAAATAATTATGACAATGCGAATGAAGCCATTAATACGACAAACATCAACTGTCATTTGAGAAATGGCGGTGAATCGTTTGCGATGTTTTAACTAACTTTTGGAAATAATAAATAGTTAGAAATGCATATTAAACAGGTATTAATTAACATTACATTGATTTTTTCAAGAGATGAATTTGATTTCCTTCTGTTTCTCACAATCAGAGACTGTGACGTGTACCTATGCATGACAAACTGTATATAAATTGTTTTTGTTTATAGGTGATTATTCAAGGGTTTAAGAGTTATCGTGAACAGATAGTGGTAGAACCCTTTGATAAACGACACAATGTAGTTGTTGGACGTAACGGTTCCGGAAAAAGTAATTTCTTCCATGGTAAGCTATTTCAATCAGCATAACAAAAATTGCTACTTGGTTTTACATGACAGATATTGTTTCCAAAGGACTTGTAGTGTTAAATTTACTCTTGAGTTTATTATAATATCACTGTTATTAGATGTTTAAGCTATTCAGGTGTTCAATTCTTTTTCAGCTATTCAGTTTGTACTTAGCGATGAGTTCTCTCATCTCAGGCCGGAGCAACGTCTGGCGTTACTACATGAAGGCACAGGACCTCGGGTGATATCAGCCTTTGTTGAAATTATTTTTGACAATTCTGATAATCGAATTCCAGTTAGTACTATAATTTATTTATTTATTATAAATCATAAAATTTCTTGTCCATGCTTTTGGAGGGAAAGTAAAGATTTATGTTCTGAAGCATAACATTCTTCAATAATAAATACAATTGTTTGGAACAGATTGAAAAGGATGAGATTTTCCTCCGAAGAGTCATCGGTTCTAAGAAAGATCAATTTTTTCTCAATAAGAAAGTTGTGCCAAGATCGGAAGTGCTAAATCTATTGGAAAGTGCTGGTCTGTCCAATTCTAATCCATATTACATTGTGAAACAAGGAAAGGTAAGTTTTACAATACTTGGGGGCATAAGTTTATGTTAAAATTTAATCCCATTTATTTTTCTTACAAGAATTAAATTTTAGACAGAGTTTATAAACTTAAAAAAAGTAAAAAAGAACTAAAAACTCCTAATTTGTTACATTGTACATATTTTTTAATTCTGTAATAACATAAATTTTACTATATTATAGTTAATGATGTCTATTTTGCCTATGTTCATTTGTTTTTGTCATTTGAAATCTTTGTCACTATAATATGTTACATTTGTGAAGAGAGATTTCCAGAATATTTCATTTATTTTCAACTGAAATAAGGAATTAAAAAATTTACAATATTAACATGATTCAAACTTACTACTGTAATATTGCCCTCCAGTTATTTTTGTTGAAACTATTTTGATCCAATTTCTTTCAACAATTTTTAATTCAATTTGCTTTTATTGAGACTGGAATCGCAGAATTGATATTTGACTTGTGCCTGTGTCATTGAATTCTTAGTTCTATAGTATTTTATATCTGATTAATAGGTCAAAATTGTATTAGTCTTGGTATGGAATTGTGTTCTATCCACTTTGGATAATAATTTCAATATATACCGCTTTTAGTACATTTAATATTACTGAAATGATGAAAACATACTCACACCTAATATTGATCCTTATTGAATTGAATACTTCAGTACATTAATTATTTCAGATTAATCAAATGGCAGTAGCTCCTGATTCACATAGACTGAAATTGTTACGTGAAGTAGCTGGTACACGAGTTTATGATGAGAGGAGAGAGGAGTCTGTTACTATATTGAAAGAAACTGTTGGGAAGGTAAATATGCTATAATGCTATAATATGCTTTTCAAATTTGGTTAGGTAGGGATAGGAGCTTGGACAGTGGAGGTGAACGTATAAAGGCCCCTTAAACCTACACCTGGGTCGCAAATCCCAGGCACTGTTGAAGCTCCTCTTCCTGCAACGCGATGGACCCGGCACCCGCACGGTGAATCCATTGAATGCTGAGAAGGTTCGTCTCTATGTAATAATTTATGACACTGTCATTTTTATCATATTAAAATTTTGTGTCAAGGACTATGCATATACAGGGTGACTGGTGAATTACTATCAATATTTAAGGAGAATACTCGGTACATGATTCTCATTCGAATTATGTAAAAAAAATAGGCACTTAATTTTTGACCAAATTTCCGTATAAATAAATAAAGTGAGGACACGTTCCAAGTGTTCCAAGTGTGGACGCGTGCGGCGGCGTGCTGATACAACAACACGCCAACAAACGCGTTTGTGTGTGTGTGTGTATACCTAATCTGTAGGGTGTTCATACGATGCGTAATTAATTACATAACTTTTGGTTAACTTTACTTACAAGTTTATTAATATTTATGTTATATTAATTTTTATTTTGTCATATATGATCGTCAAATATCACGTCCTCAAGTATCGATAGTAATTCACTAGTCACCCTGTATATATTAAAAACTTCATAGGAATGGTATGTATAGTGTATAATTTTTTTTTTTTTTTTTTTTTTCAAATTATTACATGAACATCAAGAGTTTTATTATGTTTATAGCTTAACCTTACTTTTAAAAAATTAAATAGATAATAGGTTTCTTTAAATTAAAGGAATAAGTTATAAACAATAATATAAATGATACCCTATATATATTTTTTTGTAACAATACAACATTCTATGATCTAGAGATCCACATTGTTGGATTTACAAAGAAAATTCAAAATGATCAGTCTCCCTTAATGATTAATTAATTCTTAAAGTATTGTATGAATATCATACATAGGTGATTGGAAAAATCCAAAAATAATTATCACTACCAAAACATATACTACACAAATCTTCAAGTATGTAATAAGATTGCTTGCATAAATATAAATAGAATTAAAATATCATATCAGTTTTTCTAACCACAGATCCTGTATTTAAATATGTATATTAAGATCTGTATCCCCAGATATTACTTAGCCAATCACTACTACAAATTAATTCTTTGTTTAAGGTTGAAAAAATTAACGACTTTCTCCAAACCATTGAAGAGAGACTAAAGACGCTTGAAGAAGAGAAAGAAGAATTGAAGGAATATCAGAAATGGGATCGCGCCCGACGTGTGCTTGAATTTATAATACATGACACAGAACATAGAGAAAACAAACGGAAACTAGAAGATGTTCGTTTTCTTTACCAATATTTATTTTAAGTCTATCTAAGAAGATTCTTTAATATATATATTTTTTTGCAGTTAGAGAAAATGCGTGCTAACAGTGGCAAAGAACAACAACATTATGCTGACATGGTGAGAGAGGCTCAAGATCATGTGAGAGAAGCTAATAGGTGATATATAATAATTTGTAACAATAATTATTATATTGCTAGCCATAAATTGCACTTAAGGCTCTGTGCTCAATACAATATTAATTTACAGTTTCTAACTACAACAGCCTTTTAGAATAGGACAATAAATTTTATATGAAAAATATTATTTTTGTATTACATTTTCCCTTAAGGTTAATAAATAATGTAATTTATTAATTCACTGATACAGAAAACTAAAAGAAGCCAGAAAAGATGTGGCAGCAACTCGTGAAGAGAAAGACATACTTTCAACAGAACAACAACAGTTACTGAGAGAAAAGACGAAGCTTGAGCTCGCTATCAAAGACTTGACAGACGATGTTGACGGAGATAACAAATCCAAGGTAAACATACATTAAATCCTATTGTTTTACTGCTATCATAATTTCAAAAGACTGAGCATCTATTAACTATACATGTTTGTACTTTATTAACATATAAACTACTTAACTGATTTTCATTAAACTTTACAACAATCTAGACTAGACATCAAAATAAGACAGGCCATATTAATTAGTAATGGAATTTTGAATAGTACCTGCAGGTTTACAGCATAATTGTCGTATTATGTAAGAAATCACGTGACACAGACTAGAGACTACGAAACCGGTTGATGGTCGTATTTATTGTTTTATCATACCATAGCAGTTTTTATTATTATTTTAAAGTCGGCAAACGGTGCCCATGGACATCAGTATAAATAAATGTTTGTCTAGTTGTATTTTTGCTTCAGAGCAATTTTTATTATTATTTTAAAGTCGGCAAACGGCGCCCATGGACCTCAGTATAAATAAATGTTTGTTTAGTTGTATTTTTGCTTCAGAGCAATTTTTATTATTATTTTAAAGTTGGCAAACGGCGTCCATGGCCATGGCAAAGTGAGAGAAGAGGGTAAATTTTAATCGCCTCTCTCACTCATTGGACAAAACGTAGCCGCTAAAGACTACTTCTAGGCGATCTCCAGTGAGAGGGGGTATTTCCCATGTCGAGCCAGGCCATTTTCGAGCTATAGTAACTTAACCATAGCTAGGCTCTATCACCTTGCAAGTAACTTGTAGACATCTTTGTCATTCTATACCATTAAAAATGTGTTCTCATTGTACAGGAAAGAGCGGAAGCTGAGCTGGAGCGTCTCCGTCAACAGATATCGGAGAAAGAACGCGAATTAGAGGAACTAAAGCCCAAGTACGAGGAAATGAAGGCGAGGGAGGAAGAATGTACGCGAGCACTAGCGCTCAACCAACAGAAACGACAGGAACTGTACGCTAAGCAAGGCCGCGGGACACAGTTCACATCCAAACAAGACAGAGACCGGTGGATAGAGAAGGAACTCAAGTAAGGATAAACAGTGGTATAGGAATAATAATACAGAAAAAATAACTAGAATATAAATCATCTTATCCCTACTAATATAATAAATGCGGTAGTAACTCTGTCTGTCTGTTACGCTTTCACGCCTAAACCACTGAACTGATTTTAATGAAATTTGGTGCAGAGATAGAGCTGACCTTGAGAAAGAAGATAGGATAGTTTTTATCCCAGACTTTTGAAAAGTTCTCTTGGAAACGCGATATAAACGAACTCCACGGGCGAAGCTGCGGGTGGAAAGCTAGTATTAAATAAAATTATGTGACTTTTTTAGTGTTAGCAACTCTATTATTATTTACAACATATAAATATTTTTTACTAACAATTTAATCTTAAACTAAGCAACTATTACAACTACCACTCAATCAATCCAGTATAAAATTCTCAGTTAAATACAATAAATAAGTTCTCATTACTTTACCACACATAAAAAATTATAAGTCCCATTTTAATACAATTTATAAGTTCTCATTACATCACCACTCACATAAAATTATGAAAATATATTTTTTAATTCAAATCAAAGCTACCAAAATCAATTAAAATCAACAGATCATTGAACAAACAAATAAAAGACAAAAAGGACCACGAGAACAAACTACGTGAGGATCTGAGAAGGGATGCGACAAAGCTGACGGAACTGGAAAAAAGGATCGAAGAAATGACAAAGGAAATGGAAAGACAAAGGGTCGCGATCGACGAACATAACAAGCAGTACTACGAGTGTAAGAAGAAAAAGGATCAGGAACAAAGTACCAGGAAGTGAGTGACTATAAATATTCGCTTATATTATATCGTTTTCATAAAACTTTGTTCAGGTTGTTTATAACACACTTAAGAGTTCGTAAAATTTTCTTTCTGTCAGTATTTCAGTTATCATAATTAATTTCTGATGAGTTATAAGTAACTTTGGTGTAGTTGTATGCAATTTTAGTGCTTGTTTCGAAAATTATATTAATTATATATTCTGAAATTCTTATCTGTAAAAATTCCATACTTATAAAGTAACCTTAAATGCATAGGTACTGAAAACAATATTATGTTACATTCTCTATAATTTGTTGAACCTCGTTATTGATACTAAAACAACACAAATAAGAATCATATTTGAAAAAAAAACGTAAAATATTTAGATAGAGATGAAAGTAGGGAAAATTTAAATAAAATATTTGTTTTTACATAAGAATAAACTTTACAGCGAATTATGGCGCAAGGAGACCACATTAACTCAGAATTTATCATCATTAAAAGAAGATCTATCTAAAGCCGATCAAGCACTGCGTTCTATGGCTGGAAAGGTAAAGAAAATGAATTATAATATAATATTTTATTAATAAACAAATTAAATACGTAATTCTATAATCAAATTCTCTTATATAACCGTAGCCCATACTAAACGGCAGAGACAGTGTTAGGAAAGTTCTAGAAACTTTTCAAGAACGTGGCGGTGAGTGGGCCAAGATAGCCACACAGTACTATGGCCCGGTTATAGAAAACTTTAGCTGTGACAAAACTATATACACAGCTGTTGAGGTCAGTTATTTTTATTATCATATATTTTAAACAATAATTGTGTCATATATTTTACGAAACAAGATTGAAATAACAATATTTCTTTATTAATTTATATTAATATAATTTTCGTAACGATTATTAAAATATTTTTTAAATGCGCAATAAAATCATACAGTTCATCAATCAAGTAATGAACTAAATATTGTAATCAAAATTTTGTTGTCAAAAGATATTAAAACGAAAACATATATCTCTTCTATAATTAAACCCTATCATTCTCTAAGCCCCCAACCATTAGAGTTAGTTGCAATACATTCAATATAATATTACTTATTCTCTAATATTTAAATACATAGCTTTTTAGTTTAACATAAAAATCATATTCCAGGTTACAGCCGGCAACAGATTGTTCCATCATATAGTTGAATCAGACACCGTTGGTACTAAAATATTAAAGGAGATGAATCGACAAAGTCTTCCCGGTGAAGTGACCTTCATGCCTCTCAATAGATTACAAGTCAGAGACATGGTTTACCCTAATGATAATGTAAGTGTAATAATTCTCCATATATGCAATAAATTATCTCATAATTACAGTCATGACTGAAATATACTATTTTATATCTAATGCATTGGTTTGTTATTATTTACTTGGTGTATAAACAAAGTTACCTTAAAAACAATTTACATTAAATGAGAATTTTTTTAATGATCATATGTAACAATAATATTTTTTTCTATACAATCTATTTAATAGGTTCGTAAATGAAGTCAATAAAATATTCAGGTTTTTTAGGTTTTAAAATAGTAAAATCCGATAAATATTAGTTTCATTAAAAAAAATATGAAGCCAAATGTAATGTGGGTAGATCACTAATATAAGTTTCTATCATTTAGTCTTGCTCCTTACAATACATACATTACGAATATAGTATAGATTTATTGGTTACTTATTTCAGAATGCCATAGCCATGGTTCAGAAATTGAAGTATGATCCGAAGTACGCGAAGGCCATGAAGTATATCTTCGGTAAGACACTTATATGCAGGAACTTGGAGTGTGCCACCGAGCTCGGGAAACAGTTTCATCTTGACTGTGTCACTCTAGAGGGAGATCAGGTTATAATAACAATACATTATATTTATAATAGTGAAAAAAATACCTCAAAAGTCGTTATTTTAGAAAATATTTCATGTCAAACTTTCTCCTGATAAATAATCTGCTTCCAATGTAGATACGCGGAATTATCGAATGGTAGTTACGCGGATTTGCACTATCCCCGACGATATATTAATCCACTATATTATAAATTAAATTACGTCGGGTTTTCTCCTCGCCTTTACCGCAATGCCTGAAGACCAAAGTCTTCGACCCATGCGTCCTACCGGTTATGACCTAAGGGGCTGAGACGTGGACACTCATTGTAGGACTAGTCCACAAACTCAAAGTCGCTCAGCGAGCTATGGAACGAACTATGCTCGGCGTTTCTTTGAAGGACAAACTTCGAAACGAAGAAATCCGACGAAGAACCAAGGTTACCGACATAGCTCGTAGAATAAGCCAGCTGAAGTGGCAGTGGGCTGGTCACATCTGCAGAAGGACCGACGCACGGTGGAGCAAGCGTGTCCTTGAGTGGAGACCGCGTCTCGGCAAACGTAGAGTAGGACGCCCCCCAGCTAGGTGGACCGATGACCTTAAAAAGGTCGCTGGGTCTCACTGGATGCGGAAGACAGAGGACCGAGTGTTATGGCGCGTGTTGGGAGAGGCCTATGTCCAGCAGTGGACTGCAATAGGCTAAATGATGATGATGATTATAAATTAATGTCCTTTCAATATTAACACAAAAAAATTATATTTAAATCTGTCTTATGTCTAAGTAACTTAAATATATTTTAATCAAGTAATGTATTTGTCGCAGGCAATTTGTACGATATGTCCGTTTAAAAACGGCCTCGACATTTTATAAATATGAAGCATTATACAAAGATTGCAAATGTTTTATACATTAGTAGCGCATTTTATAATTTGCCATGTCACTTTTCTCGTGTTAGTTAAGTTAGGTTATTTAGGACACTGGACATATACATAATGTCTGCGATATATTCACCTGTATGTTCTTTAGAAATTTTTAAAAATTGTAGTCAATGAAGCACTTGTGGAATAATTATAATATTTTCTTAGGTATCATCAAAAGGTTCTCTCACTGGTGGTTACTTCAATCAATCCCGGTCTCGTCTAGAGATGCAGAAGACTAGATCGGAATTGATGGAACAAATAACATCACTAGACGAAGAGCTGAACACTCTGAGACAAGAACTCAATAAAACAGAAACAAGCATTAATACTATCGTATCTGAAATGCAAAGGACTGAAACAAAACAGGGGAAAGCTAAGTAATTAACATTTAACATCTATGTTACACTTTATGCAACTGAATATAATATATTATAATAAACTTAAAAGTATGCATCCAAATAAATAAATCTACAATAAAAATAAAGTAAAAAAGAAACTATGTATTATTTGAACGACTATAAGAAGACAGTGTTTAAGAAACATCCATACTAATATTATAAGTACATTTACAGTATAAAACAAATACTAAGTGTAAATGTCTTGTAACTTTTAAGTCTCATTATTAAATAAATATATGACAAAAAGTATGGTATATATCAACCCACGAAAACTGAAATATATATATGCTTAAAAAATCGTAGTCCCCATAAAATTTAAGAACATACATACCCATATAGATTAACTATTATTTCCATCACAAGAAAGATATTCATACGAAAAATTTTAAACTTCCAGAGATATATTCGACAAAGTCAAAGCTGATATTCGTTTAATGAAGGAAGAGCTGGCGTCTATAGAACGATTCCGTGGACCTAAAGAAAGATCACTAGCACAGTGTAGATCCAGTCTGGAAGCTATGCAAGCAACCAAGGAAGGACTTGAGTCAGAATTACACCAGGTATATACAATAATATATAAAAGTAGTATAGTCAGTAGCGGCCTAGTGGTGAAAGGCCCGCTTCTCATGCACGAGGGTGCAGGTTCGATTCTAGCAAGTACCGATGTGATTTTTACGAGTCACATGTACTTTCTAAGAATATTTAGACCCCACTGACAGACGGTTAAGGAAAACATCTTCAGGAAACCTGGACTTATAATTACACAATTATAAGTTTGAAATCACTAACCTATATTGAGCAAGTGTAGTGATTAATGCATTCCCAAAGAGGGTTGATGTCAGACAGGCGGCCGGTCGTAAAAATATTAGCCAAAACTATTTACAACATGTAAAGCAGACCCTGGCTAAAGCTGAGAAATTGACAGGAAGAAGATATACAATAATATATAAAAATCTTCCTTGTTTGCTATATTAAAAAATAAAATATTTAATATGAAATTTCTATTAAGATTTTAGTATTCAATATTGTTACATAATTTTTCAGAAGTTTTTTAAGGAAAATCGATAGCACACAGCTCAACAAATTAAATATACATGTATATTCATTAAATGTTAACTTAAGACTAACTAGGTTAATTAAATTTGAAACAGTCATTTGATTCGACTATTTATTTGTAGGAACTTATGGAGCAGTTATCTATAGCTGATCAAGGTAAAGTTGATGAATTGAACGACGCCATCAGACGGCTGACACAAGAGAATAAAGAGGCCTTCAGTCAGAGAATGAACCTTGAAGCTACCAAGAACAAACTAGAGAACTTGCTCACTAACAACCTTATACGGTAACATATATATTTATAATCTACTTACCCGCAGATTTCCGGGATGTAAAGTAGCCTATGTGTTATTCCTGGACGTCAGTTTCCTGTATACAAAATGTTATCAAAATCGATTCAGCCGTTTGAGTGTGAGGAAGTTACAAACATACACACACAAACTTTCTTAATTATAATTTTATAATCTATAATCTATTATACAGTCCTATGGTAGATGAAAATAAAATATGCATCTTATAAGAGTGCATAAGATGTTTATTGACGGAATTAATAAAATCTTTGTTAGAGATAATGTTTATAAACCCATTAAAATTCCAACAAACCAAACAATAAGAAACACTGATATAATATGCTTATGTGGCTTGACCCATCTAAATTTATATGTAAATTTGTAACCTTTTTCACATATATTGAATTTGAAATTGATACATACATTATTTGTTATGTGAAGCAAGCCCTTTACCATAATTTTTAAATTTAGCCTATAGAAAAATATTATATGCTTATTTATTTAATCATTCCAGTCGTAAAGACGAGCTAGTACAAGCGCTTCAAGAGATCTCAGTGGAAGATCGTAAACGTCGTTTGGCGACTAGTAAGGCGGATCTCACGAGCGCTGAGAAAAGAATCAAACAGATCAATAAGGACCTCGAAGATGTTGAGAGGAAGGTACAAGCAGCGGTCAAGACGGAAAAAGCTCTCAAACTGGATCTAGACAAATGGAGGAACAAGGTAATCCTATATTTAGTATTTAAATAATTTAATTTTATTAACTGGCAACACCATTTATAGTATGTTTGATGTTAAATCCAAATCCTTCTATATGTGACGTTCTATATAGAAGAATTTGAACACATAACATTTATTTTTCTATCAATTTAGACCTTAATATTATAATATGGACAAATACAAAATATATTTATAGGAAAAAGAAGCACAAGACAAAATGGAAGAAGATGCCAAAGGTTTGGAAAAGATGGCGTCTAAAGAAGTGTTACTACAAGAGAAAATACAAGAATCATTGGACAAAATAGCGGCCCTAGGAACCCTGCCTAACGCTCCCGAACTACATTCTAAGTACCAGAAACTATCTTTAAAACAGGTTAGACTCCCAAATGGTGAAGCTATTGAACTAATTTAATTTTAAACTTGTTAATGTATGGATTTGTTGCTCTGAGCAGATTTTAACTAAACATTCATTAAATATTAATTCAAGCGTATATATCAGAATTATATAGACTATACGTTGTTCTGAATGTTATTTTTGAACCGTGTATATTTATTTCGCTATTCATTTATTCGTCAACCCAATTTCAAAGTCCACGTGGACGAAGACGCGGCAAAAACCATTACTAAATATTTATTTAACTTATTACTAAATTTAATTTTTACTAATTCAGCTATTCAAAGAATTGGAGAAGGCCAACCAACATTTGAAGAAATACAACCACGTGAATAAAAAAGCCTTGGATCAGTTTATAAGCTTTTCGGAACAAAAAGAAAAACTTTACAAGAGGAAGGAGGAACTTGATATTGGGTAATTATTTATTTATATATAGGTATAACAGAGAATTAATAAATCATATTATATATATTAATTTATTCTTGCAAATGCAGAAATTGTTAGAAATAACATTATTTACCGATGGTCTCTTTTTCTTCGATCTCTTGAATAATTTTGTTGTATACCAAATCTCTCGCTACTTTAGCGTACAGATAGTCCAAGTGGTTAAATTTATTCAATCTATACGTAGCGGCGACGTTCGGAAGCTTACTATATAGTATTTTAACGTCAGTTACATTTGACAACCAATCGTTATCACTATAGAATAACTGTATGGGAACAGTTACTTTGGTCAAATCATATTCTGGCGGCGTAACACTTTTGTATTTCAGTAGATTTTCTATCAAACCGTAATCATAGCGGCAGAATCTTCCAGAACTATATAGTTGTCCGTAATGAAAGAACTGTCTTAACCCTGCACTGCTCGTATGGGCGAAGATGACTCTCAAGAAATGCGGCTCCGTATACTTAAAATCGTGTCCTATAACTTGCTGTATATAATTATCGCAGGCCGTCAGAAAATATTTACATATCAAACCTAATATCGTGTTATAATGATCGACGTAAGTATTCGATGGTAGGTAGTTCAATAAACCATATGTCGGCGCGAACAGTTTCAACATAAAACTCTTAGCGTTACTCATCCACGCAACCGGTGACAATGAAAACATTAAATCAACTCTATTATTGTATTCCGGTCTTAGGGACATCATAACATAAGACGTGGTTGTTCCTTGTGAATGTCCAACGTAGTATAATTTTCTAAATCCTGTTTCCTTAAGCGTGTAATCTATCATGGCTGGTAGATCGTAATAGCTGATTTCGTCCCAAGAAAACTTCCAATACTCGCTTCCGCTTCGTTTCAATGATGTATGCTCTGTCGAGTATTTATTTCCTCTAGCGTTACCCATCCATACATCGAAGCCTTTGTCTGCTAAGATGTAAGCCAAAGCATATTTAGGTCCTTGCAGTATCCAAGCATCTGAAGAGTCTAAAAGACCGTGCATGAGAAATATCGGAATATTTCTCTTTAAATTAATTCTCGGTGGTATTCTATAAACGGTCAAAACATAGCCATCTTCTGTGATCACTTTGTGCTGTTCTATGTTATAGCCATATTTTGTTACTAATCGAGTTATATTTAAATCCGCATCCTCAGAATCTATGAGAGACGATGAGTTTGATCTAACAATTTCCTTATTATCAGTCTCGCTGATGTTAAAACAAAATGATACATGAATTAACGCTAATATAAAACAGAAATGTAAACAAGACATGTCTGTTCTATGGAAATAAGTGTTGTACATAGGTCTTTTGAGGTTTACCTTCCTATTATATAGGAACAATATATTACAAATGTAATTAGCGGCGCTAAACCCATGTCCCTAATTAGTTTTTAAGTATCTTGAACTTGACATAAAGCTTAGATAACCAATAATACTAATATTTAACCTAAATTACTTTGAAATTACTTTTGCAATATTTCAGTGGCGAAAAAATCCGTGAGCTGATCGAGACGTTGGAACATAGGAAGTTAGAAGCGATACAGTTTACGTTCAAACAAGTCAGCAAGAATTTCACTGAGGTGTTCAAAAAGTTGGTCCCTCAAGGCAGAGGCAGTCTTATAATGAGAGTGGCGCCCGACGAGGGGCAAGATATACCGGATGTTAGTATGGAATTGATACATTTATTGTACAATAGAGAAATATATGAAATAATACATAAAATTTCCTTATATACACAAATAAATTTTACTGTATTTGTGTTTAACTGGGTGGTGCGTTTACCATCTATGGTTTTTTTAATCAAGTGGAATGACAGCCAATCATAATCCACTCCTAATTAAAGATGTAAATATTCTTAAAAGACATTACATATTTAAAATGCTTTGATATAACTAATATTGTTATATGTATCTATGTATATTATATAACTATGAATCCTTCTAAGTTTTAGCAAAAACTACTTAAATTTTATAACACATTCAATGGATATATCATATATATAGTTTAATAATAAAATTCAGAGTGTCTTTATTTTCATCGAAAAATCTTAAGTTCGGTACATTTGTATAAAATACAAATAATTCACTTTGGTGTACTCACACGAAATAAACTATATAGATAATATATCATACAAATCACAGATAGAATTGTTCATTCACCAATACAGTACACAAAGACTATTACATATATACTACTATATCTAATTTTGTATAACTAGCGAGCTAACGCGGACCCGTTCACTGGCGTGGGTATCAAAGTATCGTTCACTGGCGGTGAAGGAGACATGAGGGAGATGAACCAGTTGTCCGGAGGTCAGAAATCACTTGTCGCCCTAGCACTCATCTTTGCCATACAGAAATGTGATCCAGCGCCTTTCTACTTGTTCGACGAAATTGATCAGGTTCGTGTAGCGTTGTGTTGGCACCAACATATTTCTTGTCTTAGTAACACCTGTATCTTAAAAGTATTTAGCAAAAAAAAAAGGATTACAAAGGAGATCATTCTTTTTGGGCCTTTTTTAAAAGTGCCGGCCAACAAAAAAAAATGGTACATATTTGTAGGACTAACCATTTGGAACAATAGTTAATATGGCGCAAAAGTTGTAGGATCCAAGATATAGAAGTTATTCAAGTTTCAAGATTCATCATTTTGGTACTTTATTTTTTTCTGAAAGTGCCAGGAAACATAAAATAATGATTGATATTGCTAGAGTTAAGCTTCTCAAGCAAATCATTATAGCCATAATCTGTTAGAAACCTGTCGTTTTTATGTAATACTAGCGAACCCGACACACGTTGTTCCGCCAAGTATCTGAACGCATGCAACACATTTCTTGATGATTTTATTATTTGTCTAACCTTATATGTATATCGGGGTGCCATTTTTATATATTAAAAAAATGGGCCTAGAAGCACTTTTAACTGATTTTGTACCATTTCGGGTCGGATTTGATCATATGACGCGAGAGCAAGTGGAGCAGAGCATGTACATAACCGCATGACTCCAGATTTTCTATAGCATCTCTAAAACCACGGTCTAATATAAAAATGTCACCAGGCCGGTAAAACCAGTGAAATACATTATTCAGTGCATCATTTAAAATCTGGGCATCGGAGGTTGTTGCAGCGATGGGCCATCTACCGCTATTATGGTTCCATTGCAACAAATATTTAAAAAAGGCTTTAAAAGATTTCGAAAGTTATGGTTGCTATAAGATTTTCTTTGAAAAAAGAAATTAGTGCTCTTACGTAAATATATGTAAGTGCCATCAAGTATAGAGATGGCCTTTCTTTCTTCAATCAAACTATTAGGATTACCAAATTATCGCTCTGGCACTATGAGGTCATGTATGAACATTGAGGTCTACACTAGGCTAGGCCTGTATCGTAGATACCAAATCAATTTTAGCAGACAGGATTAAGTAAATTATTACTATGCTTATAATAATCACACAGAAAGTTGTTTCTATGTTAATAATTCTACTAATATTATAATTGCGAAAGTTTGTGAGTGTTGTGTTTGTTAGTTCTTCACGCTCAAACGGCTGAACAGATTTTGATAAAATTTTGTATACAGGAAGCTGACTTCCAGGAATAACACATAGGCTACTTTACAACCCGAAAATCCGTGGGGTAACACCGCGGGGCGCAGCTAGTTACAAATGAATCTTAATATAATTCCAGGCTCTAGACGCTCAGCATCGTAAGGCGATCGCGAACATGATCCACGAGCTGTCATCCTCGGCTCAGTTCATAACGACAACGTTCCGTCCGGAGTTGTTGGAACACGCTCACAAGTTCTACGGAGTCAAGTTCAGGAACAAAGTGTCTCACGTGGAGTGCGTGACTAGGGACGAGGCGCGGGACTTCGTGGAGGACAGCGCTACGCACGCGTAGACGCGTATGGTACATTGTAAGTATATCTTTATATATATATATAATTCTTCTGTGAGTATGTATGTCACTGAACTTCTCTCAAACAACTGGACCGATTTTGATGAATCTTTTTGTGTGTGTTCAAGGGGATCTGGGAATGCTTTAGATTGACAATTTTGTCCGCTGGACATATTAGTAGTTATTGATACAAACGTTTTTTTTTTACATAAGATTTGACAACTAACTAATATGTCAATCATTCTGTCGCACTTCAAAACACGGAGATTTATGGCTTTAATAGGTAAACTCCAAAAATATAAATAAAAAAACATAACAGATATTTCTTGATTATAGGGAGATACGAAGTTCACCGGGTCTTCTAGTATATATATTATGTGTAATGGTCTTAGATAAGCTTTTTTGTTATATGCCTAACAATACATATGAAATGTTAAGAAATTCAACTAAATACTTAACAAAAACAAACTTTCAATACCCAATATTTTTGAAACATATTTATAATTATTTCCATATTAAAAATATGCATATTATTGTTTCAGATACATAAGCGTCCTGGTAGATGTATTTCTGTATTAAAATTTAGTTTATTTTTTTTATAAGAATTCTTTACAACACTTCAGATACGTTAATATATGAAGCGACAGTTTAATATCAATGTTGTAAACAATGTGGTAAGGGGATAAAAAGATTGTCTTTTCTATGTATTTCTGGTATTTCTATGTATTTCTAGATATTTTAAATTATTCTGCAGTTAATTTTATATCTTCATTTACAGTACATTCAATCAGAAGTCTTAAGATTCTTAGATATTTATTTACACAAACATTTTGTTGAGTATATCTTGATGATTGCGATGATTACATTTCGTTTTCTTTAATTTTGACTTTTTATTGTATAAGTTCTTGATTATTTTAAGAGAATATTGACATATTTCTAATTTTTAGATCTTTAACACGGTGTTAAATATAATCACAGGTTAATAAATGATAAAAATTTATGTTTTTATTTCAATGAACACTTTATCACGTGAAAATACGTCACCAATTTTGGAAAATTGCCATAATACCTGGAAGCAATTTAAGCAATTCTATTTAAGAATAATAAAGCAGAACAATGAAATAAATTTCAGATGAAATATATGAAAAAAAGACGATTTAATAAAGAAACTTTATTGCAGATTCGATTCTTGTATGACGTCATCAAATTTAACAGACTTACATCGTTATTGCTCTCAGAATATAACGTTCAGAAGAATTAATATTACATGAACATTTTGTTTTTTTTTTAATATAAATGTGATATGTCTAACCAAATTATTGCGAGAATGAATACTTTTTGTAACATTTAATAAGTTTTAAAATACATTTTTATACATTTTATAGTATTAGAACTATCAGATAGTTTATAGTAAGAGTATAAATAGAAGATATAAAAATCTACGTAACACACGAATTTATCAACAGACCACGCGAGTTAAAGGCACACATCACGAAGAAAATTTCAAATAATTATATATCAAGAAACACGCTACCTAATAATAGAAAACATTATTTAAATCTAGAATAGTATTTCTTGCAAACTATCATCTAAAAGTTAAGTAAAAATTCAAGGAGAATCATTTTGGCTTCGTTAACAGTATATTGATTTAGATATTCTACACACTACTATACACTAGATAGCTACTTAATATTAAAACATATCACAAGAAGTGCGATATCAGTTTAATATAACGATAATAAGAAATTATATAAAAATAAATGAACACATTTATTAAATGAAACATCAAACATAATACTATCGCTATAATCTTCTAAGGGGCACAGCGTAGGGTGAGTTCCAATCTCTCTCAAATACTTCCTGTAATTCTCTCCTTATATCCTTAGTAGTGTTCTGATCGTGAGGCTGGTATACAAACGCCACTCCGGCCGTATCCACGAAGTAGTCTCCGTACCAGTTGGAGGTGCCGATGTACGCGCTCTTGTCAGTCACCATGTACTTGTTGTGGTTCACTCGAGCGTAGGGTATCTTGTCCTGCTCGGGAGTCGACGGGACTATGAAGCGTCTCTGGAATTAGAAGATTATAGATACTATTATTAATATTATATTATATTTGTTCCATCTTAGGAAGGTTTTATAAGTACTTTACTAGCAAGTTTTTTGTAATTTCTGAGTAATATATTTAATAATTATTGTTCATTATAAATAATATAAGCGTTATGCTTGTTTATTAGTGCAACTAACTAGAAGACGTGGTTACAAAACGGTAAGACCACTATTTACCGTACGTTTACTTTTTCTAAATTGCATTTTTATAATTATTTGATGTGATGAAAGAGTACGTCGATTATATAAGTTTTTGTACATTTATATATCTGTATAAATATCATCATTAGCTTATCAGAGTCCACTGCTAAGCAAAGGCATCTTCTCACATGGAGAAATTTTAAGCATTAATTACCACGCTTGCTCAAGGTTGATTGACGATTTCAAACTTATAAATTATAAGTCACAATGTTTTCCTTCCCCGTCTATCAGTGGTGTCTAAATACTCTTAGAAAGTACATATGAATTTAAAAATCACATTGGTACTTGCCAGGATCGAACCCCTCGTACATGAGAGGCGGGCCATTAACCTCTAGGCCACCATAGCTTTTGTATACATTTAATAAGTGTTTATATACAAATAATTCTCACCACTTGTATGTCGACCCTGGTGTAAGCTCCTTGTAGCGCCGCCAGTGACGCCAGGAAGTGTTCCTCGGCCGGCTGCGAGTGTTTCCACCAGCTCACTAACAAACGAACTCTGGTTCGCGTCTCTAAGGCAGCGCGACGTAAAGCGTCGTCTATTTTAGGCCAGAACCTGTATACATTTACATTATTTAATTAAAAGTAATTATCAAGTAAACGTTAAGTCATGTTAAACAGGATATTTCACAAAAACCGAGTTCAGGGTTTTGCATTGAATCAAAAAGATATACATTTTATAAGCATTATTCTTCTAAAGTTGTATTCGTAAAAGTAAATACAAATGAAAAAATGGATCGTTATAAAAACACTATATGTAAAAAGTTCTATTCTATGTCAAAATTACTAATTTCCAAATTAGCATTCTATTTGAAAATTACTATTATAAGTCAAAATTACGATTATGTCCTTAGTATGTATTACTATTCTATGTCATAATAACGTACTGTAGTTTCGGCGTGTACTCGAGAGCTGGTGCGTAATCCATGACAGCGACGTAAACGAACTCCTCAGCGGAGTGTATGATGTTGACGATGGCGTCGTCATCATTAGTACGACCGGTAGGACTCAGCGGCGGCGGAGAGCTCTACAGATAATAACAAACAACATTATAATAATTCTAATGAAGTGATTACTGGAATTAAACATATCGTTAACAAGTAAGGCGACTTCTTTTTGTTTTATTAGAGTAAATATATATGTATGTATATTCGATTAATTTGCTCACATAGATTTCAGTTTTAGAAAAAATCGTCACCGTGTTTTCAGGAAAATTAAAACTAAAAGTTGAAAGTTGCTTTACACTATAAGTTAAAGTACGTAACAATAGATGGCGTTGGTAAGCAATACTATGCCAACAAAATTTTACATCACAATCTAGCAACAAAAAAATGGTTTGTCAAACAAAATAATCCAACACTTATTGGAAAATATAAATGTACAATACAAAACAGATTAAATTCAAAATATAATAGCCATAATGGTTGCAGAGGAAATTGTCTAATGTATTTCAAAATGAAATTCTTATATCAAGTTACAATATATTTTGATTGTGTTAGCTTTGAAGGCGTCTCCGGAAGACGTATATAAAGGTCAAATCCATTGGATTTATACGTAACTAACTGTCGGAAGTGCATTACTTGTGAAAGACGTGTAATAAAATAGTGTTTGACACCAACCTCCACCCTCACGAGTTTTTATTGCAAATAAAATTTTAGTACAATATGTATAGTTTTTATTCGTTAATCTTTGCATTGAAACTTTAAAAATTATAAACTATTTATGTCCAGTTCGATAATATTTATAAATAAGTCAACTATATTAAAATCAGTAAAGCTTTGAAAATTAATAGAGTGTTTAAATATATCCATAATAATTACTTATAAGCATTGAAAGTCATATATAACAAACAATGTCGGATTATTCTAAGACATTGATAAATTCACAATTTATTATGCTCCGTATTAAAACAACGTTATACTAAAACAAATGATAGCGTTCATTAATTCCCATACATTAACGCCCTTCGACCGTGTAAAGGTTTGTTTACAATAGTAACAACGGCTCACTAATGACTTTAACGTTCCGTTTTGAACTCTGTATACTAACTGAACTTAATATGTTAACATAACCTAATTGTCCTTTTGTTAATAATGCCAATGACAAATGATGTTCACTTGTCGAAATATCAAAGAACTTTACCATCTAAGCTTAAGGAGATTTCTTATTGAACAACTAATGAAGTATGGTAGCTCTGTTTGAAACTAATTAATACATTATATTTGTATAATAATCCCTTTAAGTAAGATAATTAAATATCCCCATCCAAAGTCAAAGATAACGAGTGTAGTGAAAAAATAAATTATTTATTTTGTTAGAGCGTTCATTTTTCATATAAAAAATTAAGTCTGATTAATGTCCGGATCGCGTGAACGAGGTAACGATATGACATTACCCTTAGTATTAGTTTTCATTCTTGACTTAATACCGGCAGTTTGACGTTACTAATACATCCGATGTATTGCGAACGAATAAAAATACGATGGTTATTATATGTAACATATTGTTTACATATTAATATTTAAATGTAAGACAAATAATTTAAAAATAATATTTTTATATAAAGCTTTTCTGACTTTATCTTAGACAGATTTGTTTTTAATCTTTTAGTTACAAATTATTCAACAATACTATCTATTTTAAATATCATATATAATAAAAAAAAAATTCTTAGTAAAATATATATTTTTATCTAAAATTATAAATAAAAAATATATCTTTGTTACATATAAAACCTTATTTACGTCACCTTGAAAATAAATAAGTCTTTAGCAAAAAAAATATACATGCTCTTTGAAATGAAAAAGCGCTATGCAAAATGTACATACAAGTGAACAAGTAACAGCCACTCACGTCTACAAATGTCACGGCAAAGCTTTAATTGCGGTTTTTTTTACGGCCTTGTTACTCAGATTTTATCTATGAATATTTTTCTGCAAAAACAAAGGTCTTGTCATAGTAAAATTAGTATATTTTCATATTAAACCGAGCGTCATAAGTTGCAATTATAAATGAGAACTATTAATGTAATTTTGGTTATTAAGATTAGAATTGACAGTACATTTTACTATGAGACGAGACGAAACCTCTTAGCATTCAATGGATTCACCGTGCGGGTGCCGGGTCCATCGCGTTGCAGGGAGAGGAGCTTCAACAGTGCCTGGGACTTGCGACTCAGGTGTAGGTTTAAGGGGCCCCTTAACTAACGTGCGTTATACGCTCACCTCCACTGTCCAAGTTCCTCTCCCTACCTAACCAAATTTGAAAAGAACCTACTAGGGCTGCCTTCGACGTACGTTCCAAGAATGAATTAATGTTAGTTCTGGACAGGCCCAAGTCTTTAAGTAGGTTATAGAGAGATTTAGCTGTTATACCTCTCGCTCCCACCTCTACCGCGTACAAATCAACGACGAACCTATTTCGAGTTAGTTCGTTAGTGAGCTCGTAATACTTATTGACCTTGATGGCATGGTCTTTGGGGATGTTGGTTTCCCAAGGCACCGTAAGCTCTATCATCACAACGCGCTTTAAAATACGCGAATATAGAAATATGTCTGGTCTGGAGGCCGACGCACAAATATCCTCGGGGATTTTGTATTGTTTCTCATACGTATCCATCATGATAGTCCAATCCGAAGCCGCTTTAAGGATAGAGTAAGGCTTGACGTTTGATTTTATAGCCCTGGTGCCCTCTCTCACAAAACCTATTGATCGCTCGTTTGTGGTTATTTCCCTTTGCGCTCTGGCTACCGAAAGACTAACCGCTTCACGTATGATCTCTAAAACCCTATCGTGACGACGCGAGTATTGACCGCTGTCCAGGAGTACCTTACATCCCACCAGCAAATGCTTAGCAGTTCCAACTGCCTTTCCGCAGATATAGCAAGTTTTTTCGGTACCTTTACCCCATCTTACTAAATTACTCTGATCTGGGAGAGTCATCTGGAACGCATTGAGATAAAATTTTAGCAAGGCTGGCGACCAGTCATGAATTAGAGTGCGCCATTTTAGTGCTAGTGGAATGCAAAAATCTCCTATGTCTAACCACTCGTTCTGCATTTCTAAACTCATTGCATGGATCTTGTATTTATCGTTCTCGTCTTGCCGAATAAAAGACTTCAATATATCCGTATCTTGGACTTTCCTACTTGATCCTAACCCTACTCTGTTATTTTGCGCTCCGATCATAAATTGTTTATGGAATTGAAGTCGTGACTCTAGCTCTGGGGCATCATTGTCTTTTGGGAGTGATGTAACGACGTCATCATGGGATTTTCCCAGGATATGTCTCTTGGAAACTCTTAGGTGTTTGTAGAGCTCCGATGGTCTTTTTAGATTCATCCCAAAACTATTACGATCCCTGAATAAAGCCGATGAATCAGCCGTTAGCGCGAGCCCGAGCCACAACTTCAACATCTTTATGACGCCTGCATCTAATTTAGATAAAAGGGTTTTACTAAAATCATAGACGAGGAAAGGCCAATTCAAACGTGAAGTTAAGTAATTATCGTAGATCCATGCTTTTTTTACGTTACTGATCTGCTGGCTATCTACCCTGTTGAGATCATTTAAAAAGCTATCTACTATTCCTTCTAAAGATGGAGTACGACCTATATTATCAATCTTACGACCGAGAAACTTGAATGGTGCATTTTCCGTAACCGTAGAAACGCATTGACCGCCTATCGATAGTCCCGGATCGTATGAGGTGTATCTTGTATTCCGCCTACCAAGACACAGACAGTGACATTTATTTGGTTTTGTCCTCAATCCGTCCGTCCACTCACAGAATTTATCCACTTCATCTAATAGTACTTGACAGTGTTTGGGGTCACGTGTCAGTATTGCGAGATCGTCAGCGAACGCTAAAATGGATTCCGTGTATTTGTTATTGAACTTAAACCGATACCCCCATTTTTTCTCATTGCTGATAAGTTTATCTACTAGGATATTGATTACAATATTAAATACTATTGGAGATAAACAGCACCCTTGGAATAGTCCTACATTGTAACTCAAACTTTTTGATGGGCCTTCTTTAGTTATAATAGAAAACTTTAATTTTGAGTAATACGACGCAATCATATCGCTAACTAAGGGTAGAAAGTTATACCATCTAAGCGCGAATAGCATCAACTCGTGTTGTATCGACCCGAACGCGTTCTCTAAGTCTATCCAACAAACTGTAATTTGCCGCTCGCTTTTTCTAGCATCTTTTAAACTCTCCGACAGCAAGGTGTTGTGTTCTAGGCATCCAGAAATCCCGGGTAGAAACCCTTTCTGGTGATTTGGCCTAAAATACTTGTTGCTGAGCATGAATCGCGTCATTCTCGTTTGTAGGACCGAGAAAAAGATTTTAGATATTGTATTTGTTAAGGCTATCGGTCTAGTATCCTTCGGATCGGTAACTCGATCTTTTTTGGGAATGAGGACAAAAATTGCTTTCCCGAAGCACTCCGGGATTTGCTTCCTTGACCAGATTTTGCCGTATATATTTATGAGGTGTTTACGAACCGATGGACATTTTTTAAAGACTATATATGGGATACCATCGGGGCCCGGTGCAGATTTAGATGATTTCCTCTTTATGTGACTACTTATTTCGTCTAACGTTGGTGGTATGCCGTGAAAATCGATATGAGGAATTTCCGGTTTTTGTTCGTTTGGATCCGTATAGAGCCTTACACTTTTAGGCAATTCGTATGTGATCTTAAAATGGTCGTAAATTTGATCGTTGGTCAAGAGAAGCTGTCCGCGTTCTTTCTTAAAAATGGTTTTCGAATACTCAAAAGGGTTTTTATCAAAATCTACTTCCTGTTTGGCCCGGTCAAAATTACCGCGATATTCTGCAGTTTGTGCCGATATTCCTTGAATTAATTTAAGGATTGACCTTAACGCCCTAGCTAGCTGATGACTAAGGTGGTTGTCGCCTAGAGCTTTGGCTATACGTAGATTTTTTCTTAATTCCCGTTTTTAATTATATGCATATTATACATGAAAAGTTATAAAAAATATATATAAATATATTTTCATTTTATTTATTTTCTCGCTGCGTTCAAGATAAAAGTAAGGCCTAACTTTAGAAGCCAAAATTTTTTTGGACAGTAAAGAATCCAAGACCACATGGTCATATTTGTCTCCGATAATTGCCGTCGAAAATTACTTTCGGATAAAACGTTAATTTTTTAGAAAATATATCTCGTAAAAAGAAATAAAACAATATTGCCAAAAGCAATTGATATTTTGTTATAAATTTGTTAAGACTAGTTTTTTTTTTACCTAATTGCGACGGAAAAACATCAAAAATACAAACCATTAAATATCACAACTTTGAAGATTTTAAGAGATTGAAACAATTCGAAACATTCACTAAAAAGTTTAATGTGCTATTAAAAAACCTCGCATTTTCTCTTACAGATATTACAATAGTTAAAATGCTTCTCAGTTAAAATCATTTACAGTGTTGCCAGCAGACAAAAAAAATGCAAATGTTTCATATTGAAAATGTTACCACAATATTTCTTTAAGTTTAAAATAAGCCAGCATTAATACTTTAACAATACTCCTTAAGACGTATCTAATAGAGACGGTATTCAACTCGAAGAATAATAAAAGCGAATCACAAAGAGCTCTAAAGACTTATTGCGCTCTGCGTTATTGAAAAAAATACAAAGGAAAAGCTGAGAGTCATCTATATGTAACCATAATAATAAATACAACGATCGTTTTAATATAAACAATAAATATCTCTATCGATTCCTTCGATCGATTAATTCGATATCGATTGTTGGGTTTATAATAAAAATAATGCATATATTTAAGCATAATAATAATATTTAAGCAGTTGAAGATATATCTCAAATATATATTTCTCTCTTATTTTTTCTACTTTAAAAAATATTAAAGGTATAACATGATTTGATGGCCTGTAGCTATAATGTAAAAGAAATATTATACTTTACATTAATAAATGCTCCGTAACTGTTACATACATATTTTCTTTAAAAACTATAAAGTAAATTAAAGTTACTCACAGTAATAAAGGCTCCATAGCTGTGAGTACCGTCGGATATGTTGATGGGGTGCTCCATGTCTATATCTGTGCTGAGGTCCGCTGGCCAGCTGTCCGGTACTACAGCGTCCGACGTGCCCAGCGTCCAATATACCTGAATATTATATTTTAATAGCGTTAATATTATGTAATTATATCTTTTCTGATAATACATATTATATAGTAACATGTGGTATATAAAACCTTTTTTACAAAACCTACTTTCGATACAAAAAAATAAAAAAATATCAATCAAGCGTTTTTAAATTAAGAATATCACAAATTTTGGACATATTTTTTTTATGTATTTTTTTATTTTAAATATCGAATACCGTTCCCCTTAACCTTCTATTCATACTGTTTATTTTATTTCCTTTTTATATTAATCCTCAAAGTTAGCATTCCTGTCACGTGTTGCGCCAGGAATTCACTTTCATGAGCGAAAAATTTAATTATTAAATAAGTAGGAAAATTTCGATTACAATTAACAGAGAGAATTCTGAATATAAAATATGTACAAACGGAAAGATTTTTAACTAACAGAATAAAATGATTTATGTTTGTATTAAAAACAATTTATATATCAAAATTCAAAAATAATATTGTGAGAAACCAATGTCAGTGTTATAAATTAGACAGCTTTGACATCACATTGAAAAAAAAAATTATAATTTATAACGTATTTTTATTACAAGAGACATAAAATTGACATGCTGTTATTTATATACTATATTTAAAACAATTATGAATATTTAATCGGTATAATCTTAATGTCAAAAAATCTTTTATAATATTCTACAGATTAAATAAACCTGACAGAAAATAAACGTAATTTAATGATTCAGTATTTATTAAAATAATAATAATAATATGAATGTAATACGAGTGCAAGAAACCGTCATTATTTGAATTTTGTCTTGATTAAGATATAGTTTTTGTATCGATAAATTACTTACTACTACATATACGTATAATAAAGTGTAAAATATATTTATATATGTGTTTTTATGCTGACTATTAAACTAGGTCATGCCCGATGCACTTACAGTTCAGATATCTAATTTTATATACGTTTTAAAATAGAAAATGTATCGTGCTATTGATTTATTCAGATATGTCTAACCGCAGTGACATTAAATTTTATAATTATAATGCGACAGTGCCAGTCGGTACCAGTTAAAAGTTTACCAAAGTTAAAACATAGCGATGTAAATGTAGACACGAAGCCATTTTTTTCCGCATTACATACAAATCTTTTAATCCGATTTCAGAACGGATATTAAAATTTATTTCGTAATCAGAATTCTATTCGATTTAGGTTAGAATTAAGTGATGGGATTCAGAGATAATATCGTTACAAAGGACAAAGTATGAAATAAGCCGGAGATAGGACGGAGTTTGATTATTCTTTTATATTAGATATATTTTAAATTAATATTCAAATGTATGTAAAAGAGGATTATTATTTCAGATATTTCATTTCATTAAAAGTTACAGATTAAATTGAGCTGTAGAAAGTAGGTAACGTTTTACACTTAAAAAAAAGTAACTTGTTAGAAAATTGATTTTTAAAAATGGAATTATAATAATGCTAGAAATGGAAAGTATAAAGCACGTATATAATACAAAAAAGTTTTCCTTCATAATGATTATAATAAAAAATTAACTAATTTTCTTAAATGAAAGACTTTAATCAACAAATCTATTAATTAATCTTCCAATCAATGTTTTTAAGAAATAATTCATATTTTTTTGTTATGGTAAATCTAAAAATAATATTAATAAATTAATCTCAACAAGTCCAATAAAAACTTTTTATCGTGTTATTCGATAGCATACAATTTTAAATTTAGAATACAACGTCATTAAAGAAACTTACGTATGCTCAAGTTAAATTTACTTTATGAAGTTAAACTCAGAGCGGAATAATTTGAGCGCTGCTTCGAGTTTAAAAGAAATTTTAATTGTCAAACTTTGTTACCAATTCTGTATTATTCTTTTATAATATTTTTTTCAAATTTTAATAACAATATTGTATTATAATGACAAGATTTTAAATTTCGAAGGAATCCTGCGTTGTCGGAGGAATTACTTGATTTGTTTTTTTTCATATAAAAAAAATGAATGTTAGAAAATAAAACTTTTTAGTTGTCTCCATTTAACGAATGTAACATTAACTTTCGAATAAATATAGTTTTTAAGAAAAAATCATTAAGTTTCGCTTTTTTCCAAATACTTATATCAAAATGTTTTATTAACTAAATAAAATAGAAATATACTTACATCAAATATTTTCGCCAAGTCGTTCGCCAAGCAGGAACAATTGTACGCCACTATACCCAACTCTTTAACCTAAAACAATATACAGTTTCATTATGAAATCTTTGATAGGTATACAAACTCACACGAATACAAATGTACACACACATACATATACAGATTATACTATATACGGCATGCAAATTATACAAGGACAAGTACTCATAAACTCACGCGTATAAAAACACAGACATACATACAAGCACACTCTATAGCGCATATACATACGTACACGAGCCACACACACACACACATACACAATCTCTTACTATATACCTGTGTCAAAGACCTCCAATCCATGTTGGCACTACCAATATAAAAATGTGTTCTATCTATGATCCAGAATTTAGTATGCAAAACGCCACCGCCGAGAAGCTTCGAGAAGTTGAGACTCCGTACCTGATAGAAAAAAAAATTTCTTACGTTATAAAACTCTATCGTTAATTTATTTTAACCTAATACATCAACATAGATAATATCACCAAATTAATATTAATGTTTTTGAAAAGTTATTATTTACTTTCAACTACTATTTTCCATTTTAAGTATAGAGAAACAAAAAGATGGAATATATATTATCAATAATGTACAGAATGTTATAAATATTAAAACAAATTAAAGACCTCAACAAGACCAAAATAGTCACGAAAACGAAACAAATTGCGTTTAAGTAATGCTTATTTTTCCAAGTAAATTGACATAATATGTATATCAGAAAATTTGTATGGAAATGTATTAAACCTAACATTAAGTCATCTTTAATACCTGTGCCGCTTTTTTCTTAACTAAATATTCGGTATCTATATTAGGGTTTAGCTTGGTGGGCCAGTTTTGAGCAATTTTCAAATTTATATTCCTCTTTGTCCCAGCTGCAAGTAGTGCCTGGAATACTTGTTCGCCCTAAAATATACAAGAAATAATCATAAAAAACACCTTTTTTATGAAATCCCTACTAATATTATAAATGCGAAAATAACTCTGTCTGTCTGTCTGTTACGCTTTCACGCCTAAACCACTGAACTGATTTTAATGAAATTTGGTACAAAGATAGAGTTGACCTTGGGAAAGAACATAGGATAGTTTTATCCCAGACTTTTGAAAGGTTCTCTTGGAAACGCGATATAACTGAAATCCACGCGGGCGAAGCTGCGAGCGGAAAGCTAGTATTATATAAGTTCTTGAGTCAACCAGACAAGATAAATTCTGTAAACTAACTTGTTATAAGTTAGGTTTTAACATAAAATGCTGTAGTCAATACCTACAATACAATATGCCTTTCAAGTACAGATCTAAAAATATGAATTAATTTATGAGGAGTAAAATTTATTTGAATATTTTTTGAGTGCTGTTGTATTCTACAACATAATAAGCCTCTAAAAGTTTATTTACATTTTTTATCTCGTTTTATTGGATTTACGAATTAAAAAAAAACAATAAGCAATGTTATAATAGATTTGTATTTTCATTCTTTTATAAAATAAATTCCTTTAATTAATATGAAATCAATATGTAAAACATAAAAATATAATTCTTATTACATACCTCTATAGAAGAATTATATGGATATTCCTCATTAAACCTAAGTGTCCAATAGAATGAGGCAATTTCTATGGACGTTTGAGCTTCGTCTATCAAATCTAACCATGCGTTCTTAGTTGGCCTGTGAGTTACATTTGGGGGATACATGTGACCTTCTGGTATACTTTCTACTAATGATAACCTGAAATACAAAATTTACATTAAAATTTACATATAATAATCGCTTCTGCTTAAGGCTAAGGATTGTGGCATTTTTTCCTCAAACAAAGATTTTCTCTTAAGTTTCTCTTAAGCCCTAACACATACATAGGTTTCCCAATACACACAATTTTTTGTGTTTACGAGTTTTGACGTGATGTATTTGGATGGAGAATAAACAGTGAGTAGTTCTGATTACGGACACGTCGACTGGAAGACGGCGCTACTAGTGGCAGGTCGAAAATATTTCTAGTGATTTTTGATAGATGGCACTTTTCTCAATACAATAATGAAAATTATGAAACAAATATTGAAATCGAAACTATTGATTCCCTTTTATGTGTATTTTGGTATAATTAACTTTAAATAGTTAGTTAATTTTAATCAACATTAAAATATAACCATAATGATACTCACCTACATTCCTCGGAGCAGTGCAAATTGACATGTGGTGTGGGAAGAACATGTGCTATATTTGGTTGATCCAGCAGTGGTACCAACACAACCAACACTATAAGCACTATCACTATGGATACAGGGATGCAGGAAGGCCGGCACCATATACTGCGTTTCTTCCTTCTGTTATTTAAAATAAATACTCACAACATGTAAACTTCTTTATAGAAACTTCTTTGGTTGGCTCTTTAATTAGTTTTTTTTTTAATTTTAGTAATGGCTTGGCTTCTTTAATACTTTAAAATAAGAAAATTTTATTCAAACACTTTTCAATTAATACCTATAAACTAATTCTATTCCATAATAACAATATAGTGATTCGTAATCCACATAAATATAATAGGAATGAAAGTAAATTTTTGAAGTTATTATGAAATTCTTTTTAAGTAATTATACTATTGAAAATTTAACACTTTAATGCGTATATATTATATGAGCATAATGTTGTTTATGTTTATAAACATTTTGCCAGTAACAATCCGAAATTGTTTTAATCGTCATATTCTTATATTCAAGTAATATGGGCCCAGTTTTTATTTAAGCATAGTTATATTTTGTTTTCTATTCTTTTTGTTACTGGTGTACATAAAGATAAAATGGCTTATATGACATATAATAAAAATAGTAAACCATTGTTAACACAACTATATTAATAAAAAGACCTGGACATTTAAATATGTAAATTAGTTAGGAGAAATTGATATAAATAGGTAGAAATCATACTTATAGTCAATATGCTAGGTGAGTTATCAAGTAATAAATAGATATAAAGTAAGTAGAATAGTTAAAAATCTACTTATTATTATATTTTATTTTAGGGAAACAAACCACAAGATAAACTTATGGGATATGAATATACAAAATTACATATATCAGCTAAGTTTCCACTAGTAATATTACTTACTTATCATGATAGCTATTTCCGTTTTCATCTCTCATCATGAATATTTGCTCCCACTGCTCCAACTCCTCATCAGACGATGACGCGTTCCCCACGCTCCCCGATTCTAGCACAGTCTTGAAACAATGGACTTTAAATTAATATTCCAATCACAAAATATTCGTATCTATACACGTTTCAAATTTAAATAAAAAAGAAATGTATGGTAATAGAATTTTTTATTGCTTTACATACGTAACAAAACTATTTCATAAAAGAATTACATATGTTTTGATATAGTAAGCATATTTAAACTTACTTTGAAACTTTTGAATATGGATTTAAATGGAATAAGAACGTCAGCTAAATACTTCATCATAAAAAAAGCGTATTCATCAAAATAAATAATTATAATAATAAGCGAATCATTACGTCTTTGTTTAATATTACTTATTTTCGTATTAAAAACACTTGTTGATTAGGAAGTCACTAATAATTGACATATTTTGACGCAAAAAGTCAGTAATTTGAGTTTGACATTTATAAAAATCGAAAAGAGTCGAGTACCTGCTAATACCTCAATTAATTATTATTATACATTCTAAAATTTCCAAAATAATGCCAAATATTGATACCAAAATTTTTCTCGTATTTTAAAAATATATTTGTTTTATTTACGATATAATTATTTTACTTTAATTTAGAAAAAAAACACGTTGATTTTCTTAAAACAACTAACCATTTCACTTTTGTCATCCACTTCAATATATAAAAATTTTTTGAATAAAAAATTCTTTTATTTTTCTGTCTTTCAAAAAAACTATAGTTAGCACTCTTTGAAATCAACTGCATTTTCGTTTGTCCTGATGTTCCCTTACAAGTCGTGCAATCGCATTTGCAGTATAAGTATGACTGCAAAGTAAATGACGTCGGCTACCACTGCATTGTGCACTGTACTGTAAAACCACGAGTAAAACTATGCAGGGAAAACAGATTTAAATACGGTAATTATTGTTTCACAGGCGAGGGTATAATTTAGTGGACATGTCGTTATTTCAACTTTTTAAATAAATTACGCTGCAGTAGTATAACCATTTTCAAAATAATTTAGTTTAACCTGAATATATTTATGTAAAAAGATTAGTCTCCATACGTTAATGTTGGTAAAATCTTCTGTGCTCCGTATCCGAAAAAATAAACAAAGAACCCTCATGGCTCTATCAACAGATTTTCATCAGTTTTTTTTGTAATCGTTAGTTTCAGCTCTAAAAAATAAGTACTGACGACATTTTGCAAAATTTAACGAGTTTGTTAAGTATTGAAGTTTTTGTGTCTTGAAACTGGTTGGAGTTTTAATTAACGTAGTAAGGGTTATATTTGTGTTTAGTAGATTTAAAATCTTTACTGAACATGTAAGTAACGACAGAGTTAAAAACAATTCACTAATTTCAAACTTCAGTAACATAAATGTTTTTGGATAACAATATAACAAAACATTCTTATACCTATAATATGTAAATTATAATTTATAACAATGTCAGCATTATCACATATGTCGCTCATTTCAATAGTAGACGTAAAAAATTCTATACCTACAGAAACTACTCTAAATTTATCTTTAACTAGTTTTTGCCCGCGACTTCGTCCGCGTTAGTTTCGTTATTAGTAATATTTGTATAGCTGACCGGCCGAACTCTATTCCGTTTTAGAGGCCATTAATAATCAGGTTTCTCCTGTTTCAATCGAACAGAATGATTGACATATTAGTTAGTTGTCAAATCTAATGTCCAAGAAAACGTTTGTATGGGAAATAGAAAAGGGCTGTTTTTAGGGTTTTCCCGGAAATGAATCAATTTTTTTCAGCTTTCAAACCTTCCCTGAACCTCCACGAACATTTTAAGACTAAGATATGGTAAATCCGCTCAGCTGATCTCGAGTTTTAGCGAGACTAAGGAACAGCAATCCATTTTTATATATATAGAAGATTTGGTAAATAAAAAAACAAATGTTATTTTAAATGTTAACTTACAATTCTAAAACCACTATAAAGATTTAAAAGGTACATTTTGATCAAACCTTGAATTCAATTACGTAATTTAATTTTTATTAGAAATCTCTATTTATATTTATAGGTCCTGTAAAAACTTATTTCGTACTTAATAGTTTCAAATTTGGTTAGATAAAGAGAGGAGCTTGGCCGGTGGAGGTGAGCGTTTAATGCGCCTTAAATAAACCCTGAAATTTACACCTGGGACACAAATCCCAGGCACTGTTGAAGCTCCTCTCCCTGCAATGCGATGGACCCGACACCCGCACGGTAAATCCATGGAATGCTGGGAGATTTCGTCTCTGCATGAAAGTTACTTTTAGATAAAGTAGATATGAGATAGTAGGTAGGTATATGAAATATATTTATGCAATGGAAGGTATTCTACGAGTTTTTAAATACTCTCATATATTTAGAAACGAATCAAAATTTAAATCAAACTTCACTCAGTCCCGCTCAACATTGTTCGTGTTCTAAAAAGTTATTTTTATACAAAAACCAATATTCTTCTTAAATGATATATGCATAGCTTTTTGTTTTTATTTAGACTATCAAGGTTCAGTAAGGTAAATCGTATAATTAATAGACGGTAATTCTCATAGATTTACCCTGAGAATGATTTTTAATCGTGTACCTAAACATTTATTTTCTATTGTTTTTATTTTTACATCCTCCGAAATACATATTTGTATTTGATCAAATGCTCAATGAAGAGCGTTTATACAGCCGACACAAAGTTGATAACAGTAAATGGTACTAAATACCCTTATCACTAGTTTCCATCGCCAGACTGAACGGAGACAGTTGCTTGTTTTCATTCATATATATACCTACGTTGTTACGACAAATGTCAAAGATACCTACCTGTTTAGTTCGACAATACAAAGTTACAAACCCGTGGTAAGAGATCAATGACCTCGTTATAGAGTATGCAAAAACGTAGTAACAATTGTAGCATTTCACTCAAAATATAGATAGTTTAGATTTACTAAAATATCTGTTAGCAAAACGACATAAAAATTAAAGATTACAAACATTTCTAAAATTATTGTATGACACGCGAGATAAGCTTTAATTAAAAAGCAAACAATCATTTATCACAATACTAATACACTAAATGGAATTAAATATTCTATGTTAAAAAAAAACGCAGCTTAATGGATTAAAAACAGAAACGAATTGTATAATTTTTCAATGCACTTAGCTGGTGACGCGCTCGGTCCCTGGTGGATGCAATCGATGTAGGTGAAATAAAAATCGAATTTTATTGATTCCCAACACTATAAAACTATATATCTTTGTATATTTATATGTAAGCGTATCTAAAATGGAAGAGTGTATTTAGTATAAAATTCACTGATACTAATTCACTGTGTCGGAATATAAAGTTATTAGGAGATATTGTGTCAAATATGTCCTAAATGTTTAAAAACGCATCCAAACATTGTAATTAGCATATTTTTTTATAAAAATATTAACTCTAGATTTGAAAAGTTTTTAAAAGTCAAAACCTCGGAATCTAAATGGCAAAGTAGATGTAATATTTTCTTAGAAAGATCTAAAATTTTATATCAGAGCTAGAATAAAAGTATTTTGGTCTGATGAAAAACAATTGAATTCTTCCAATGCTCTAAAAGTTTAAAGGATGATACAAATACATATTACATCGGTTGTTGCCTGCTCATGGACGATATTGTTTTTAACATTTAAACACTTTCCAAAACTGAGCGGTAAGTATGTGTTTGTAATGGAATTGTAAAAAATTCAAGACAGCAATTCTGATCTTCCTTCAAGTTATACGTTCAGAAATCGTATACAACTCTTAGAGAAAGTAAATTATGAATATTTTGAGACAATTCATTTCACCTACTCTATTTTTCAAAACAGTCACGGTAAAATGTTTGTAAGTAAGTACATAATTTTTGTTTTCACAACATCGAATTCAAAAAAAAAACACACTAGATTTTATTTAAATTAAATTCGATCCCATCCTTTATTCACAGATAATTATCCATATTTTCATAAAATAAAATAACATATATTGTATAGATAAAATAACTTTTTAAAAATAAAAAGTTATTTTATCTAAAAACATATACCCATCAGAAGAAGAAATTAATGTTAGTATTATGATAAAATTTCATACACAACACAACATAATATCGTAATTGAAATCGAGAACAAAAGCTTCTTAATTAAAATTATACTCACCTTTGAATAATATAAGCTCTATAACTACAACTATATGTACAAAAACAGGTTACAACGAACTTTTAATATACAACACTCCAGAACATTAACTTTACAAATGTAACCAATAAAGCCAGGCTTTCATATTCTATCTTTATGTATCGATTCAATCCATTAGGGAGTAAGCGCTAACGCTTATAGTTCAATGCAATTTGAAATTAGGTATCTAATCCATTTAGCTAGACTTTTGTTCTCACTTTAATATGTTTTTATTGACCTTAATTAATTTCGTCTGTTGAATTCCATTTGAATTCCGTGAATTGTTAATTTATTAGTTTCATGAAACCTCCAGCTCAAAACTATTGAACTTAAAATATTGTATTTAAGTATTTTTATTTATATCAAGTTGCTTTTATATTGATTTCTGTAAAAAAACATTTCTTTTTCGTTAATATCCTTTAAGCCTAATTAAGAGATAGAACATTTTAATCACAATTAACTCTTTACTCTGTATGTTATTATAAATTTTTTCGTATCAATATTCAATAGGTAGTTATTTTTGTGCAAAGAGTAGGTAAAGTTTTAAATAAAGATATACCTTTATTTATATCTTATTTTATAAAATTCAAATTAAAAGGAAACTTAGAGATAAGTTGACTCATCTCGTCTGCCCGTGATCACGGTTGCTGTAAAGTAGCTGAAACGTCGGGAGTATGTAGTTTTTATCAATAATAAAAATCGCGTAGTACATCCGATAAATATTAGTTTCATTTAGAGAAAAGTTGTCTCAACGAACGGAACTTGCTTCAAAACTTATAAGGACTTGCAGTCGTAGGTAATTGTTTTAAATAGTTTTCAGTTAAAAGGCGATAATAAAAAACGGGACGTGATTCTGATTTCATTAAGAAAATTGTAGTCTTATATGGCCGTAAGAAATCCCTTTTTAACGGCTACATTTTTTGCTAATTTTGCTTAACGGTTTTCTTCAGTTGTTTGACTCATTATTAAGTAAAAAGTACCTAACATAAAACGCTCATACATGTTTATATATATTTGAGACAAAACATACCAGCATTCTCATATAAGTATGTAATATAGACGTTATGAATAATTCATTTGTTCAAAAACCGTTTTCTTCAAAG